AAACTTTTTTTGGCAATGTTTGTCTATGAGAATTTCGAATTTCACTTGAAATTAAATTTCAGAATTTTTCGAAAATTTGAAAAACTCCAAAAATTTGTTTTTCAAAATTTTCACTTCAAATCACTCACAAATTCAAAAACAACTCCAAATTGTATCTTCAAATACAACTCTAATTTTTAAATATCATTTTCACTTTAGGACATATTCTCTGTTCCAGTGTGGAATTTTTATTCAGTAATGAGCCTTGAACTGTCATATTCCTAGGCCCCTATAACTTATTTACAGCAACTTTTGTAATTTAGGCATATGTCAAAATAGCAAACTGTTTAACTACTTGATACAATATGTGGCTATTTTGTGAAGACCTTTTTGTAGAAAATGACATATTTATTTAGTAGTTGGATACATAACCACTTGGTCATTTTGGTACGTACTTGATTGGCTAAATTAGAGAAGGTTACAGTATACGAGATATTTTAATATCTTCAAGCACCAACCAACTATATGTTGGGATGCAAAATTATGTTTATTCTTAATTAAAGGTCTCGAGTTCAAACCTCAGGAATTAATATAGAAATTTCTACTAAAAACCTTACGTGGCGCGAATTAATTATTGATCAAAAAACAATATCTTGAGTTGCTTTGGTCTCTGTTTGTTGCTTTATTTTCATTGTTCTTTGAATCGAGAGTTTATTGGAAATAATATTTTTACCTTCATAAGATAGGGTATGATCTGCGTATACATTAGTCTTCTCAGACCTCACTTATGAGATTATATTGGATTTATTGCTTTTGTCTGATATTTCTTATTTTAGACCTGTCAAAACATCAGGAGTACTACATGATTTCCCAAAATGCTGAATTGTCAATATCCCCAAAATAGGAATACACCTAAATTTGAGTTATTTGTCCCGATAAGGAAAGTGCTAAACCTGACCCCATTTTTCTTAGTCGGTGAAGGCATGCCATGGCTATTATTTGATACTATAATATACTTTTTCAGTATTCTTTTTCTCTTTCTGGCTTAGTGTTTGTTTTCTCCTCTTTGTCATTGCACTCTCTAATAATTCAAAAATCTACTAAAGTAGAAAAATGATTATATTATTAACCAAAAGGTGCTAACTAAACCCTAATGTAATTTCACGGGTGGAGTTTGTGAAGGATAGTGCATATGTAAATCTTACCCCTACTCAGTAAATATAGAGAGACTATTTCCAATAGACCCTCGGCTCGATACTATATATTTCGAAGGTCTATTAGGTAGTATAATGAGTGAAAGTTTGGTTTGTAAATAAGACACTTTAATTGGCTGAGGGTTAAGACCTATATATAAAAGAAAGATCCATTGTTGAACTATTTGTTGTTTAAGTCTATGTTTATTGATCCCAGTATGTGCATTGTTTAACAATATGCCATTGCTATGCTTCATGCTAGCATTGACTGATCAAGCTAATTGTATTATCAAGAAACATATTATATTATTTGATTTTCTACTCAGTATCCGATACTCGTATTGAAGCCTCGACTAATTCGAATTCGCATCGCGTAAGATCTACCGGGATTAACTATGAATTTCTCAAATTTGTTTTAATATTTTGAAGTATTAATTTACACTGAAAATTAAATGTTTCGACCTTCACTCTGAATATTTCCTTTTTTTCTGCATGTCTAAATACTCTTGTCAGTCCTAAAACATGGATGTCAACAAACTACCAACTGCAGAATTTAACGTTAACTAACAATGAGGATTCTACGAAACAACCAAACCTTATAATGAAGATCAAACAAAAAGAGAAAGCATACCTTGAAATTTAGTGCAATCTGAGAAATCATCTGATGGATATATTAATAATTGCAAGCTCTTGCAAATACTAGCAAGAAATTAAACCAATTTCACAGATTTATTCCTTGTGTTGGGAATAAACCCCCTACCAAAATAATATTCACGGTAATAAAAGCGGAATAATAATGTAGTACCGAGATACGGTAATTAACAAGAATAAAAGAGTAACAATGACACCAAGATTTTTACGTGGAAAACCCTTCTGAATAAGGGAAAAAACACGACCCCGAGAGGAGCAACTGATATCACTATAGTAAGGAATTTACACTTTGTAGGCCCGAGTAAAAATCCTACAAAGACCACTACAATACTCAAAAGAAATAACCCTCTTTTGATATTTCACCTCACTACAATATCGCTCACACTCTCTATTTTCGTCACAGACTATTTTCTTATATCCTGTCTGTGAAACCTCACTCTTTCTTTCTAGCTCTCAGATATATTTTCCTCTGAGATTGATAATCAAAAATGAGAGCCGAAGCTCTCATTTTATAGGCAAAAACGAGCCTCCCATACTTGACATTTCAATGTTCTACAGCCTACTTTCTTTGACAGATAAAGAAAAGGTGGGTTGCCGCTCCCTATATTGAAAACTGAAGCAAGGAAGAAAACTTCTTCCTTAAATTAAGGGGCTGGACCCCACACCTTGTAATTAAAACCAATTTCCTTCATCTTTAGTATTTTATGTTGGGCTAATTCCACCCAAAGATACCGTGATGTAATACTATTCGCTTTGAGCCAAGCCTACATAATTCTTCAACGGGCTTCACCCTATTAAAATTATCCCTATAATTTATGTGTTATTTTTTTTGTTGGCAAAATATCTTAAACCCCCCCCCCCCCCCCCCCCCCTAAACTTGGCACGTATTATTATGCACTCCACTCGGCCTTCATTCTCATTTACATCAAGATTCATCAGTACTGCCTCTAGAAGGGTCCTCCACATTGATCATTGCACTGGTTACATCTTTGAACTATCTGTGGTCTTAATTACCCCCTATACTTAGTTATTTGATAGCTATTACCCCCTTGGACGATCTCAAACTAGGAAAGTGGCATGCACTCGCTTGCCACATGGATATTCCTGTGCATGTGGCATTTTTTGAAAAATAAAATATATTTTATACCTTTTTAAGTGTGTTACTTTTTTAGATAATATTTTTCGAATAATATTTATAATAAAACTTGGCTAGAACTACATTATTTAAGCTAATTTTTTTTTATTTGGCTAAAAATAATAAAGTTTTAGTTATTATTTTTTGAATTTGACTTGAAAATAAAGATATACAGTTGAAATAAATAGTCAAGGAATCTAAAAAGATATAAGAAATATATAGTATGATTTTTATTATTTTGGCTATAATTTTTATATAGCTCTAAAAATATTTTTTTATAGATATTACCAGAAAGAATAAAAATACACAGTTGAAATAAATAGTCATTGCATTATTTTAGCTATACCTTTTTATTTGGTAATAAATAATGGAGTTGTAGCCATTTCTTTTACTGATTTGACTCAAAAATAAAAATACACAATTAAAATAAATAGACATTATATCTAAAGAAACAAATAACAGAAAATACACAACTAGTACTCCATTTTTTTGCTAAAAGTTTTTTATTTGGCTAAAATGATGGAGTTCCAACCAAACTTTTACAAATTTGGCCCCCAAAAAAAAATATGCAGCTGGAACAAATAGATATTATATCTATAGAAGAAATTAAAAAGAATAAAAGTTAGAGTAAACTCTACATTATATGTTAAGATGAAGCAAGAAGAGATACATAGTTGTAACAAATAAATCATGATATATGATTGTATGACAATTAAAAGTTAAAAAATAACCTACTTGGAAGTCGATTTTTCAATTTTTCTTCACTCTCACGCGCTTAAAAGAGAGTGCATCCAAACTCTTTGCCACATCAGCGTCCAGGGAGGTAATGGCTCTCAAAAGGCCAAGTTCAAGGGGGTAATTAAGACCACAAATAGTTTAGGGTTGTAACCCATATCAAGTTTAGGAGAATTTTTAAGTATTCCACCTTTTTTTTCGTATCAACTTCCAATATGGAATTTTCCTTGCAGACTCAACAATCTTCATCAAAGGCGGGTTCAAGAGTTAAAGTTTATGGGTTTTCACAATGATATTAAGTTAATATACAATAATTACCAAACGAACGGATTGCATTTCAAGCTAAATATTCTTATATTTTGATGTATTTTTAAATAAAAATAGAGAGTTTGGACAAAAGTTTTACTGGATTCAAGTGAACCCATACTTAATAATATAGATCCGCCAATACTTATCCTCGAACTAAGTACCACATGGCTCAATTCCACAATTTATAGATTCATTTAGAGATTCACTATATGAAGTAAACATCATTCAAGTATTTACGACCACCCAAGCCCACATATTTCTTTTTTCGTGTGCATCTCCAAATCACGCTATAAAGGCAGTAAATTGGCCCGCAAAGGGGTAAAAGCAGTAAGCCGGCTCGCTCGTTCCCTACCATTACTCTCTGCTATTTCGATACTCGTCTGAATGAATTATTGGATCTAATATCCTTAACTTGGTATCACATAGTATTCTTGAGGCCGAGCTAGCAAGGTCATCCTCTAAAGATTCACAACATTAAGAGTAACCCTATACCTTATTATATGTAACTTATTTTTCTTATTAACTTCTAATACATGACTTTGTTAGCATAGCCAACATTTTTTGCAGTAACAAATAATAGGAAAAAAAAAGGAATTTTATTCAAAATCAACAAAGAACATGTCTTTAATTTCTTGACTCTGATCAACTGCAATCTTGGGAGTTGATTGAAATACCTAAAGAATAATTTAGGCACAAGTAAAAAATTAAAAAAGACTATTCTATCAAATTAGTGAGAGAACGGGATACAAAAATCTTTTTTATTCACTTATAAACTCTTGAATCTCTCTACATCGCTTTCTCATAGTTGCCTCTCCACATTACAACCTTAGGAAATAAGTAGTAACACCCCCTATTTATAGTACTACAAAACCTAATTGTTGACTAGACTAAGAAACCTATTCCAATATGATTTTCGTAAAACAAAACCAAACTAGACATGAATTAAGTAAACTAACAAATATTATACTGATCAATTTGTTTGTTGGAATGGTAAGCTCTTAGGACTTCTTACAATGAGCAATAGCAGCCTCAATTGAACCCATCTTTGAAGTGAAACTGTTGCTTCTCTTGAGTAAATTCAACTCATAAAAGCCATTATTGGAGTTGAAAGAACAATTAGATGACGAGAAAGAAGTAGAACCACCAGATTTTGCTGCAGAAAATGACCTACTATGATTATTACTACTAAGTGTTGGACTAGCACACCTTCTGTTATGTTTCAATGGGATTTTCTTGGACACCTTGATCATATCATTACCATTTGAAATTTGTTGATCATATTCATATGTAGAAGCAGATTTACAAAACAAAGATTTGAGAAATGCCTTTGAAGCCTTAATCTTTTGGCTAAGTGAAGATTTTTTAATGAGGTTGAGCTTCTTTGACCATACTTTCTTAGGACTATTAATGAGTTCAGTGGACAACTCAAAGAAGTGATCATTTGGATTAAGTTCCAAACTTACCCTACAAGATCCTGAGGGTGTGATTAACAAGTTTATGCTAAAACATTCTTCTTCTTCAAAGGAATCTTTTGAGTTGGGAAGTATTTTTTGGTTAAGAGGAAGAAGTTTCCCTTTGTAGAAGAGTTCATCAGCTGAGGAAGTTGTGGTTTTTTTGTCATTTGTAAACTCAAATTCCCTATTTTGAGGGGAAGAGACAGTTGGACATGAAATGTAAGAGCAATAAGAGTTCACTTCAATGTCTATGTAATCTTGAGATGGAGGAGGATTTGTGGCCATTTTTTCTTGAGTCTGAGGAGCTGAGTTTGGTGAAATGTAAAGGAGAGAGGAAGAGCAGATCCTTTGAAGAAAAATGGTGCCAATAGAGGATCAATATATATATAAGAGAAACGTGAAATCCCTGGGGCTCAAATATAATTGGAGGGCGACTTTTCTGCCCAGTGGTCAGCCCGGTGCACAAACCATCCTGCGGTCCGAGAAAAGGCCGCATCCTAGAGATGTGATGTAGACAAGACAGCCTACCCTAATGCAAGCACTGGTGGCTGCTTCCACGGCTCGAACATAGGTCACACGGATACAACTTTATTATTAGTCCAATGAATACTATAATAGAGGTCGACCAAGGGCAAAATTATCATTTAGTTTCTATTATTTGTATTTTGTTTTTGTTTTTCGTATTGTAGAGGAAGGCTGCAATATTCCAATTTGCTCCTTCGAACATAATGGAATTTGTTAAGATGAAGGGTGAATAAAAAAAGATAATTTTCTTTCTTAATAAATAGTGACAAATAAAATATCAAAGCTATAGCTCGCGTTAATTTTCATCTAAAATAAGAGTCAGGCAGATATGATACTCTTACAGTTATAGAAGAACCTACGTTGAATTCTGGACAGATACAACATATAATTGGTTGAAAATTGATAGGAACCAAATCCTGTTTATCGGTAAAACGATATAGTTGAATTTATAACGTGGTTTATAGACAAGCGAATAGATTTGACCTAAAAATAATAAATAAATGAGAAGAAAGATAAGATTATCAAATGAAATTAAGGAGATATAAGTCTAACTAAGAACTTAGCCATTCCGATGGCAAGAATGAATGCGATGTTCCAGTGTTCAAATTGAGCATAATAAGACAATAGATTATAGCTTTTTGTGTATAGAGTTTCTTGTGTCTACAATGGTTGTTAATCCTTCTATTTATAGCCCTATTTAGGGGAACAGGATCCTTAAATCAAGCTCCTCTTGAATGAGAATAAAATCGTCATTGGTGTGTACATAACAGTTGGCTTTAAATGCAGATATTCTCCGTAACGGCTGTCCAATAAATGTTAGCCGATGACAATGCTACGAATCTTTGTAGCGACTTCGGGACTTGTTCAGCGCTGATTGCTCGCTTACATCCGGTGACAGTTGTTTGCTAACTTACATTCCACCTGTCTTTAGTGCCACGTGTCACTCCGCCATTTGCCCAGCTACCATCAACCAACTTTGCCCCATACAAATCCTTTTTATGACATCATTCAAAATAGTTTGTTGTGTATATACTTGATCAACTAATCCTTTTTCAAAGTTTATCTCAATTTAAGAAGCTAATAGTGTATGCATTTGCGAAACCTTTTAAGTAATGTGACTGGATTTGGATCGATCAAAAGCTACTCGGTATTCAACCATACAGTTTTTCCAGATTCAGACGATTAACCTACAGAATGAGACTCTGATTCTCCTTTGCGGGTTTTACATCCTGATTGAATAAGTTATATGTTGAATCTAAGAAATTAAACAAGTCATATGATTATATGAGAAATGGAATCTAGATTTTCATTAATTATGATTATTATGACTAAGAAAGTTATAATTAAAGTTGAAAATAGGCTGAATAATTAGGGATACTGGCCTTTATCAGGCCCAATCCACAATCTGAACATGGTACAAGGGAGGTCTACTCCTAAATTTTGTTTGTGGCCTATATCTTCCGGCTAGCCCATCAGGCACTTAGTAATAATTGTCGATCCATTCAATTACTAATGACTCGGGAATACTATGCATGATAGACGCTCTTAAAAATAATAGTTAGAAAAATATATATTTACTGTATATTAATGTATAATATAAGAAAATATACATATTTTATACATAATCGGCATATATTTATCATATATTGGCTAGCAGATGTTATTATGTTTGGCCGACGGGCCAAATATGTAATTTGCACATTATTACTTTGTCATCCATAGGAGGGGGAAGTGCACAGTTAGCCACTAATTAGAGATGTCTTTGCTCTTTAGCCACTGTTTAAAATGTATTTACTCTTTAGCTAGTGCTTAATAAATTTTTATCCGCCCAGACGAAAATACCCATGTGCTAGACATGGGTGTTGTGTAAATATTACGGACATGGTGTCCTTAACTTCATGAATGTTGTGTAAATATTAAGGACAAAGTGTCATGTCATGCGCTTAACTTCATATGTGCAGTGTAAATGTTAAGGACATGGCGTCCTTAACTTCATCTGTGCAGTGTAAATGTTAAGGACATAATGTCTTTAACTTGTATTTGTACCTTTTGTTGGTAAATTTTAGGACTTCATGTCCTTAACTTCATATATGCAGTGTAAATGTTAAGGACATGGTGTCCTTAACTTCATGAATGCTGTGTAAATATTAAGGACAAAGTGTCTTGTCAAGTCCTTAACTTCATATATGCAGTGTAAATGTTAAGGACATGGTGTCCTTAACTTCATGAATGCTGTGTAAATATTAAGGACAAAGTGTCTTGTCAAGTCCTTAACTTCATATATGCAGTGGACACTATGTCCTTAATATTTACACAGCACTCATGAAGAAAGGGTAAAAACGCCTTTTCGTATTAATTTTAATAAAGTAGAGCTATTTTTGCTCAAAATTAAAAATATTTGATAAAAATTAAATACCACGTTAAAAAGTGATTATCCCACGCTATTTCTACTCCATAGGATGAAGCAACTTGCATTCGCGGCCCAAAAAGTATCTGCTTGTATTTTGTGCACAAAAATAATTGTGAAAGGTGTACAAATTCAGCACTCAATTAAGTCCTTTCTGATTATGCGAACATTTGCTTGAAGCCTTGTTCTTTGCATCTCATTTCAAATACCCTTGTTCATGTATTCCTAATCTCCAATGGAAATCAAAAAAATTGATTCATTTATAATCTTCCACTAATTGGATTAATGGATCATCCGATTGGAAATGATAACAAAATAAATAAGTTGTTAGGAGTTCTAAAATACATATACATATGGTATACCACCTAATTATCCTATTTTCTTTATGGGAAAGAAAGAAAATTAAGGAACCCGCAAATATTGAAAAAACTACAATTATTGTTAACCAAGGAAAATAAACAAGATACACTTAGGCCATAAAAACCCGTGCTCAATATATTTTGATTTTCGAGCACAAGTTTGTCGGAAAAAAATTAAATGAATTCAAGTAAAGTTTTCTCGAACGTATCAATAAACTAGACCCATACTGCAAGTTTTCTGTTTTCCTACAATATAATGTTGCTTGTGGAACTATCGATTTAAGTCAAGCTAACTCAGAAACTCGTTCTTATGGCCCAGAAATTAACCGTTGTCTTATTGAGTGTCATGATCTGAGTCAAGATGAGTATGAAGACGTAAAACATGTTTGAAATAAATTCGGGCCTAGTGCCAAGCCCGCTCAACAAATGCAACAATAATAACAACTTAGTCAGTATAATCCTACAAGTGAGATTTCAAGAGGATAGTGCATACGCATACCTTATCCTGACCTTGTAAAGGTAAAAAGGTTGCTTCCGATAAATCATCGGATAAAAAAATATATAATCACAGCCTGCTTTACTAACACGTCCAGCTCAAAAGTTAAAACAAAGTATGTCATCGCATTGCACTAAAAACTTTATTTTGTGTCTCATACAACTAATCGAAATTATTAGAAACAAAAGTTCAAATGTTTCGGGGAATCCCGTAAACCACCTTAGGTTCGGCATCAATAATCTTGATTGTTGTGGAAGCCCTAAATCCTAGTCTAGGCATGTGTTGAAAAGTTAAAATTCCGTTGACGCGGTTCAAAAAAAAGATTTTATTCAAGAAATTTAATAATTTTGTAACAGCCCAAACCGCTAGTAATATTGTCCGCTCTGGACATATGTCCTCACTGGTTTAAAATGCATCACTAGGATGTAAAGTCCCGTGTTTTGTCGATGTGGGATACGCCTAGGGTGTCACATACACCCTCCCCCTCATCCCCCAGGTCAACGTCCCCATTGAGGTTTGCCCCACCACCGTTCAAGTTTGCACACGGAGTGGCTCTGATAGTATAGGTAACAATCCAATCCACTAGTGATATTGTCTGCTTTGGGCCAAAGCCCGCACGACTTTAAAATGCGTCCTAGGATCTAAGACCTGTTTACTTACATACTCAGCATCTCTCCCGTGTTTTGTCGATATGGATTTCGCCTAAGATATCACTAATTTATATAGATATTGATAAGAAAATTTCCCTATACACAAAGTTCTATTTTCAATAAAGGAAATTCAGTTGAACTTCTCTTTGTAAGTGTGATTTCGGGGGAAAAAAATCAGAAATAGTCATATTTACAAATGATAATTAAAAAATAGTTACATTTTTAAAAGTAATTAAAATTTATTCACTTTTCATGTAAAGATAAAATCTAAATAAAAATATTCTTAAAAATCACGAAATATTCTAGCACAATATGTTGGAGTTCGAATTTTTTACATATGAGCTTCCAGCATAATATGCTGGAATTTTTTTATGTGTTGCAGTTCCATAATAATATGTTGGAAGTTTATATACAAGAGCTTCATAATCTCGTATATTATGCTGGAACATCCGTGTGTTGGAGTTCCAACATAATGCTGAAAATTTACACGCAGGAGCTCCGTAATCCAACATATTATGTTGGAACTTTCCGTGTTTCTACAAAATAGTAACTATTTTTAATGACTTTGCAAATGCTGACTATTTTTCAGTTACCAATCCGAAAATTGGTTAGCCCGTACTATTTCTACTATGATTTCGCCACTGGCGAAGCTGGACTCAACCAAGGTTGTATGAGTCAAATTCTGACCACACGAGAGTCGGCACAAAAAGGAATGGTGAGGGGTCAAATAAGTCGTGATCGTATCCCTAAGGCACCATAACGACGAGTATCTCGGCCACGACCGAGGTCAAACCATCAGAAAGCATGTATGTTGAAGTACATGTCATGGCATTTATGGGGGGATGACC